TTTTGCAGTCATGTTGATCATGTCTTCCCACGTAAAATGTTTTGGTGGCTTTGAGTCTGAAAAACATTGAAGGAACTTCTCTCATACGTTACCATGGAGACTGATCCCTGATGACTGATAATCCTTTGCATAATCATGAAAGCATAAAGCATACTTCTGTGGCAAAGGTCAACTGAATAATTACAGTTCTGTTTGAAACGGTAAATTCAACAACCCTCATGCTTTTTATAAACTAATTTCTTGCATCATTCCTCTTGCTCTGGGTGAAAATGTCATGGTCTTTGTGATGCTGGAGTACCTTGCTCAGTATGGTTAATGCCATGTAAGCCTAAGAAAAACATTGGCTAGGCTGTTTCCATGACAACTAGGCAACCATCATGCTTTGGGAATTTGAGTCAACATTAACCAAGAAGAGCCGATATCTCAGGAGTTGATATGGAATTCTTGTTGGCTTTCTGTTTGTATTGATAAGGTTAATTTAATATGACGTATTCTTGTCTTCGTAAAACGTGGTCATCTGGTCACCATGTACCTTCTCATTCATTATGCTTACTGGAGATTCACTAATTTATTTGAAATATATCTTGGCAGGGCTTCATGTTGTTAATGATTATTAAAAAAAATGTAAAGCTGAGCAATTTTGGTCAGTTATCTGGGTTTAATTCTGCATCTTAAGCTCATTTCATAGATCATAATGACACGGCTATGATATGTTTGCCGAGTGACACTCCTGATTTTACCTAAAGCAGACTCTCTTTTGGAGGGGGGGGTCAGTAGCCTTAAATTCCTGGCTGACCCCGGAGGCCCAGGCTTCATGATGACATGCTTATTTCTAGAGGAAAGAACTCCGTTTTCATGTATTGTACCAGCTATAACTTAGGAAAAATCATTGATAAAAAAGATTATAAAACAAAATTTGAAAACCAAAGATATCAGTGTGGTTTCAGATGTTTCATGTGACACACACACTATATATAAATTGAATTGATCCTGAAGTCTCACATTATATGAACGTATTTTGCTGTATAGTGATTTTGTGATGCATATAATATGAACATTTTACAATATGGCACTATAGCAATGAACAATTGGAAGTGATCGCCACAGATATTAACATCATTCAGTTATAAGCACTGCACCAGTCATCAGCTCAGATATTTTCCTTTGGGAATAATTATCATCTCTCCACGTGGAAAAGACACAAGCGTGCAGATTGTTGTGACTTCTTTAGGGATGGTGTATGTCAGATTGGCCCAATGTTTGCAAGTCTTCTGATAAATTGTGCCGATAGCACCTCAACCTGGAACATCTATTTATATTTTTAGCTTTTAACTGGTATGAACTGACCCAATTTCTGACGTAAGAGAGACAATGTAGCAGGACAACTGAAGGATCCTGTAATGAATGGAGTTTCACACAGTGCTACCCTGAGACATCACCAGCAAGGCTGTTCCCAACAGTAACCAGACCACTATCGAATAAAAACCCCAGAAGGCACTTTGGGTCTGGTGCATGTGGCATTATTTAATATTTCTCAGATCTATGACTTCAGGTCTGCCAAGGAACAGCACGCTACGAACTTGAGGTGTGGCTCTCCCAGTCTGAACAATGTAATAAATCAAAACCCAGTGTCTGGGATTCTTCGTGTAACAGCAATTTATACATAATGAGAAAGGGGAAAATATGCACAATTACATTTAATCCTCACGTGTAATGGATATTAACTTTTTTCGAACAATTCTGCAGGATGAATGCAGTTTTAGCTTCTTCCCGCTGTAAACATGCTTAATGCATAGTTTTACCAGACTTACTAGTAGTTAATCCTTGTAGTTTTTGGCCTTTTTATTGAATTCATTAATAAACAAATACTGTATGATGTATTTTTAAATGCCTGTAGAAAAAACTCATACAGTACATGTGCTGGTTTTGTAGATAACTATCATATGTGTACTATCTAAAAATTATAAAGTGTTAAGTGCAAATGTAAAGCACAGATATTGTAATTCTGATTTGTGTTACACTGATGTTAGATTTAATAAAACACAGTTTTGTTTCTTGTATTTAATGTCAGAATTTTATTTCTATATTTAAATAATACTACCTTTGAACTGCATTTTCTGCAAATTAAAATCTAGGCAAGATGTATGTTTCCATTAACTATTTGATTTGGATCTGGAAGCTGGATCCAATAACCCTGCAACCCCTCCGAGCTCCTGAATGCTTTTAACACTTACAATGATGTAAAGACTTCTGGGTAGCAAATACTGTAGACCAGGGGTGTCAAACTGCAGTCCTGGGGGGCTGCAGCCCTGTGTAGCTTAGTTCTTTCCCTGTTCCACCACAAATGATACATCACATAGATTCATCTATGTGGTAATTAGCACAAGAAGTCGAATCAGGTGTGTTAAATGAGGGGAAACCCAAAAATGTGCAGGGCTCTGGCCCCCCAGGACTGGAGTCTGACACCTGTGCTGTAAGTGTGTGGTGCAACTTAACATTTTTACATTTATGTAAGGGACAGACATAAGGTCATCAACTTGTCTATAATTGTGCTTTTCTTTTTTTTAGTAGGATGTATATATATGATGTTCAGTTTGTTCTTACTGTCTCATGTGTCTGGAGTCTTTTTCTCAGTTTCCTGGTTACTGTAGCAGAAGCAAAGCAGTTTTCCCAGAATGAAACGGGCATTCGCTGCTGTGAAAGCCATTGTTTTATAAGTGTGGGTGGAAACAATTGACCTCATTAAGCAGCGTCACATCACAATGAGCACTTAAAGCACTCCCCGAGACAGCGGATGACGGGTCTCATCTAAAGCACGAAGATGCTGATATCAGCTTAGATGTTTAAGATCATCCTGAGGAGAAAGGCCTCTGTGTGGTTCCTGTGTGTATTTTTACCGTCCATGTTATTGATATGCCTGACTGCAACTCAACATACTGACATCTTTTAACGCCATGAAAAGGGCCATTAACATATCTAAGAGGCCGAAGTCCATTTATTCCACAGTGCCCCTCCAGGCAGAAAAAGCTTATAGTTGTATGATTTCCAGTTCTGCACATATTAAACTTGTGTACTATGTCTTTTTTTCTCAACTGAGAGACTGATGGAGAGTGTTTTTGGACGATTTAAGATCACCCTGACCTTCTTTTAAGTGTAGGCGAGGAAGCCAGGAATTGGGAGATCGCATGAAGCCATTACTTATGATAGTGTGGCAATGCCGCAACATCAATCATTGCGGAAATACAACAGTCAATTAAATGTATCATTTCTTGTTGCAATTTTTTATTTTTTACTTTCTCGGAGATTAAACGTTTTTTTTATTGTGGTTCTTCTCGTGGCTAAATAATGTTTGTTGTTATGTTTTCTAACTGCCTGTCCTGGTAAGGGTTGCAGGATAAGGTTGACTGTAAATTTCAAAACATGTTTCAGAAAATTCCCCAAATTCTCAGGTTTTGAAAATGCAAATATTTGAATATTATATTCTCAACTTCTTGTAATCATCCATTTTTGCTATGAGGGAAAATGTGCATTTATTTGTTATAGAAAAAATGTCTGCTTGGCATTCCAGTCTCTGTTGCATATAGACCTTGCTTGGGCTCTTTTGATTTTCTTACTAAATGAAAGTAAAAGAAGGAATTGTCTGAGCATTTCCTTATTGACAATGCTGTTAATTAGTTCTTTTAAAAATTTTGCCTAAGAAATTCAGCCTGGGTACAATCGATCCCAGGCTTAAAGGAATTTTTACAGGACGTGTGGTTTTGTATCTGTTGTCACTTAAGGAAAGTGATGATGACCTATCTAAGCCTAATTCATCTGCTTAATGCCCATGAGAGATTAAAACATCACGCCATGCATCACATGCTCCTATGTAAATGAAGGAATTATACTTGCATTCTGCTGATGCCCAGCATTTCAGACATATTGGATTGTTTCCATAAAACAACTGGCTGCTCCTCCCACAATGAATAATTAATGTACCCTTTGCCATTTTGAAAAATGTGGTCAAATAAAACATTTTATGGGCAAAGCATTTCAGATATTTATTTTGGCATGCCATTTAGTGGAAGACAGAGCAGTTTATACAATTATAAATGTTAATCTCTTTTCAATACGCTACAGAGGTGCAGTTGTTGATTTTGATAGTTTTGTCCGCAGCTTTGTAAGCAGGCTGAATGATTTCCTTGTTCACAAAACCAGCAGATCGATTTTAGATAGTGAAGCATAATTAATAATAACCTATAATGCAATAGGAAAGCGTAGTGGACAAGATGACAGGTAAGTGAAATGTGTAATTTTAATAATATTTTGGACATAATTTAATAACACTTTACTTGAGGCGGCACAAATAATGTAGTATTATGCTATTACTTATGTATTAACCGCAAACTAAGTCTTAGTTACACACTGATCTCATGTTAATTCATCATTAGTTATTATATTTATTACTATATACCTGTTAATTCTTAAAATCCTTTGTGAACTACTTAGGGAACAAGTAATGAATAACACAAACACTGATGTCATGTTAATTCATCATTAATGAATCGTGATGCATTTTTTTTTTTTTTAACCCAAGCACTTTATTTGTTACTACATCTGTTAATTCTGTAAATATTTGTGAACTACTGAAGGAACCACTAAGCAACTACTGAAGGAAGAAGTAATGAACAATACAAGAAATACTGATCTAATGTTTGTCTATCATTAATGAACCCTGACGCATCTTATCTCAAGTAGCCACTATATTTGTTCATGATTTGTACTTCAGCAGTAGCTCAGTTACTAAGTATTTTTGCCCCCTCAGGTAAAGTGTTGGCCATAATTCTAACACATGCTGATGAATAGACAAATGATTTTCCCCCTTGTAATGTAATGTTGTAATGTAATATTAGACAATGCTGAAGAGAGTTCAAAAGCTTCCCTATCTGCCAGAGCAGGTATAAGCGTACTACGGCACGCTCATGCACGTGCGGATCGGGAGAGAGAGAGAGGGAGAGAAGTGAAACTGCAGAGCCATGGTGCAGGATGGATAAAAGATTCTTATTAAGAGTGATCGCTAAGATTTCTCATCCTCACCGAGGGTTTTAAATCTCCTGGTCTGGATTTACAATACAATTCATCAGTCCTACAACAGGCACATTGAAAACGGAGGTGGGGGAGGGGGGCGGTCTGAGAATGAGTGTGAGAATCACCTGTCCCATTGAGTGTGTGTTTCTGTCCGGGCGTGGGTGCCCACAGCGCGCGCGTCTGCTCGAAGCGCCATTAGGGATGCCGTTTAATTTGATTCAACAGGAAGGAAGAGGGTCAGAATGCACAAGAGCAGGCAGATGTGCCAGAGCAGCTACTGCGCTCAGTGCACTTCCTCAGCCTGTGCGGCTGCATGACGAAGATCTCCCTCCCACGCATCTCCGTGCATTAGCGCTCCAGTTCCCCGTGGCACGGAAGCCTGGGCTCAGCGGCACGCCGATCCTCACGATGGGTGACAAAGGCACAAGGTAAGCTGGCGGATTTTTCCTTGCTGCGAAACGGACGCGGTCGTTTCCTTCAGGTACTAATGTTACTCTGAAGCCAGTGTTGATTGTGGATGCTGTATTGTAACAGATGGTAATGCATCTCTGCGGTAATATCTTTTTTTTTTTTTTTTTTTGCCAAGGTGTGAAATTTCTGCAAGAGCTTTAGTTTTAGGGAACCTGCTGCTTTTTTGTGCTATTACTTCGGCAGAACAATTCCTGTATGTCAGCCACAGCGATAGCACACTCCCCAGCACCGAGGCACTCTGCCCCCACAAAGGTGCGGCCCATTACGCTGAATTACAGGCATGTCAATATTTATTAGTGTCTAGATTTGCTGCTTAAGGGGAGTTTGGGTCATATAACTGCTAAGTACGGCATCACCACTGGCTTCTTGTTTTTCATGCTTAGCAGCAGGAAAGTTAACAAAAAATTTAAATGGTCTCGCTTCTGCCATTTGTAAAGTACTGATATCAGGTTCCCCTAAATGTAAGTCATGAGCTGTATTGCTGATAAATGACAGGAGGACAGAAATGAACAGTGGGATTGCCTGGGACACTGGTGGTTTCCTATATGCTTCTTCCGGATATTCCGGGTTCCAGCGCCCTGCTCACGGCATTCCTGCCTTGCCTCGTGCCCTGTGTTTCCAAGGATGGGAACTAAGCTCGTCATAATTAGATAAAGATAACACACAAACACTTGGATGGAAGGACACTTTCTATGTTGTGTCCCTATAGTCATACACCTTCAGAGATGAAGTAAGGAGTGTTTCTCAGAATTCCTGTTGGAGGAGCATTTAAAATTTTGCCGAGGAAGTGAGAAGTGAAAAATCCTTGGAAACCTACTGGGACAGCCTCCTCTCTGGGGAGACCATTTTAATTAGTTTGCTTTGACTATCCACAGATACACACAGTCACAAACACAGGGGTGTTCCTGTGAGTAAATTTGTACATTGTCAGCTTCAGTTAAATAGAAATGTACATTATTAATGGTGTGGGGTGCAGCCCTCTCTAAGACAAATTATCCAGTCCAGCTGTGATTTAAAAAAAAAATGTCATTGCATGGTCCTCATTTGGGGACATTTCATGCACCACCCAAACTGTCACCATTACGAGTTTGTTTTCTTGGTGCAATCAGATTTCCCCATGGTGGGCTTCTCATATACAATCTGAATTAGCCTCAGTTTTTATAAATGTCACAAAGCATAGAGAAATGTTCTGTGCTGCCTAAATTGATCAATATTTACATTTTACAACAGAAATATAACAAGCTGCATGACATCCCTTCGACTGCAGAAAAATGGGGTTTTGAAAACTTCTGTAAACATTGTATTTTTTGTATTTCAATTTTATTCATTTTAATGTTTTAAAATAGCATTAGGACCATTGCAGTGGTCAGCACAGTTATCTGGGCTCAATCCAATGTAACATCCTTTGGATTATTTAAATAGCCTTTTTTCAGAGTGTGTCAAAAAAATAAATCAGCTTAAAAAATAAAAGTTAAAAAAAAAGATTAGTAGAAGTAGAAGCAATGCAGAATTATCAGGGAAAGGAAAGGAAATATGGTGTAGATTGTACTAATGTACTAATCTTTACTTCCATGTCATAGAATCTACACATTCCTTGATTACTGTCACATATTTAAGTTACACTCATTACTGCCATTCAGAGCTAAACCGTAAAGGATGATAATAATAAATAATAATAAGTAACTACACACAGTACTGTACTGTAGTTGAGCCGACGAACAGCTGCAATGACGAAGCCGCGCAATGTTTTCAGGAGTATCACATCACATGGTAGTGGGTGCGTCCGTTATTACTAACCATTGTATTTAACTAAAATTTTCAATATAATAGGCATTCATAGCTATGAGTTGTCCCTAAGTCAGATGTTCTTAATCCAGGGACTGCCTATGTGTAGCATTGAACAGTAAACATAATGACACACTTTCTGTTCATTTGACATGTGACTGCAGTTTTTAAGAGAACCCCATTCATGAAGTCCCGTGAGCTAGAGGCTAATTAGCCTTCCTCAGTGACTCTGCTCTGGGACTGTGCTCTCTCAGCATACTGTAGCACCGCAGCGCCCTTGTAAGACACATTCAATGAGAGCTGTTATTTAATTTCCCGCTGAGATTAGAGACCAGTGCTGTTTGACTCTTATGAGTGTAACGTAACTCTTATGAGTGTAACGTAACTCTTATGAGTGTAACATGTAATGGCAGAAAGAAATTAAGATAAACCAGGAAGCGTTTTCAAGCTAAGCCATGGAAACTAAAATGAAAAAATCTGTTATGCAAGTCAAAAGAATTTATCTGATAGTAATGAGTATTTTAGGTGATGTAAATCTTTGAGTAGGTGTTTGCGCTTTTGTGAAATAGTCCCTGCTTCTCTGCTTTTATCTCACTTGTATTTTCTTAGCAGTGTACACAATTCTTTCCACAACACAGTGCCCTTTGTTTAGGGTATAAACATTATTCTACACCCCTATTGGCTAATTCAGATGCTGTTTCATATGACATCTGTGCTATACCCACGACACTTCTTGGTAGCTTTTTGAGGTTATTAAACTGTAATTTTTTGTAAGGGATGCAGATGACAGAAGTCTTCAGAATTAGGTGTCATCTTGCTGTCATATTCTGAGGCATGGCAGTACCTTTTATAGGACTAATTTTTGTATGCCACAAATATTCAGAAGACTTCAAGAGTGTAACGTAGTATATAAAGTAGTAGAGTATTTTACTTTCAAAAGAAAATATATGATTCCCATGTAGAGAGAGAGAGTGTGTCTATTTCCAGAAGCAGACACCAGATATTGACAGACATGATGGGCACTACTAGAGCCAAAATATGTCTAGCAATGATGTTTTCAGAATTTGAGAAGCTGACTCATTTTTCAGCCTCAAATGAGACCATGATCCTTAAGTATTTTCATACTCAACGTGATTAACATCAGTCTGATACTTTGAGGTGAATAGTGAAATTTTATGTGATCTAGTGTGCCTCAACTCTGTTAACATTAGAAGAACCAGGCAAACAGCATCAGCTTGTTGAATTTTTTAAGCCTAATAAAAACTTTTGTTTTCTATTAAAAAAAAATCTAGATCGCATTTTCAAGCTGCTGTATATGTTGTTAGAAGTGGGATTCATGATTAGCGAAGGCTCGTTAGACATGTAGTACCATGAAATGTATGGATAAGGCAGCTTGTGGGGAATGATACGGAGATTTCATCGACACCACAAGATGCTGACGTGGAGCATCATGAGATTTTAATGTCTTCTACTCCAGTAATGTGAGAGAACTGGAGGGAGCTGGACCAACTGAGTGTAATTTTGGAGCTGAGGGAGGTAATGAAAGTTATGATGGAGGGGGGATAAGGAGATAGTGGAGAAGCAAGAGCAGAGATGGAGAGAGATGGAACTGTTACACATATTCAAAATGGCAACAATGGCACCCAGGAGCATTACGAGTGAGTATTGATTATTATCAGCTACCTCAGCAGAAGCAAGAAGCTTTTCAGCTGTTAGTAAGAGCACCAGTGCTGTGACAATCCAGCAGACATATGATGTGTTTGCTACCAGAAACACAGCAGGAACTGTGTGACTACAAGCAGTTGGTGCCATCACTAACCGATGACTCTGGACCTTCAACTACTACAGCTGGCAATGTTCAGAAGGACTACAGAGAGTTGTTAGTGGCCATCAGAGCAACGAGCAGTGTGTGGGATGGGCCAGCTGAAAGTGATGGAGCTTACACAGCCATGGATACAAATTACATACATGACATGTCAATATCTCAAGCAAGTCAATTTGGAAAACCACTAAATAAATGAAGCTAACTTGGATGGCAAGGAGAAGGTACAGGTCTGCCAAAGGAAACGCCCCAGGAGCTGAATGTCTGAGTGTGCAGGTGAAGATGCAGATCTCATTACAGTGCTGGCAGTCACTGGCACTCGAGTACTAGTGTTGGCAGCCGCTTCTTGCTCAGTGGGCGTTGTGCTGAGTCTGACAGACGTGCCAGAGTGGATTTATGAGTCCAATCTTGCTGAAGTTTTTCCCTTGGGGTGACACACACAGGCTCACAGGTACCAGCAGCCTTACCGTTAAAACCTGGGCAGTCCTCTAGTGCAGTGTCTCTCAACCCAGTCCTTGGGGTCCCCCAGAAGGTCTGCATTTTTGCTTCCTCCCAGCTCCTTGCCAGACAGTCTATATTTTTGCTCCCCGGTAAGGTGGTTGGAGGGAGCAAAAATGTGGACTGTCTGGGGCTCCCTGAGGACCAGATTGGGAAACGCTGCTCTAGTGTAGCTGAGTTGCTATCTTTCATCATGCTGGGGGCAACTCTGTTTCTGACTTAATCCTTCAGATTTGTGACAAGTCCCGTAAGATGGCCAGAATTACTCAGCATGTCTGTACTTCAGTGTTGGTTGACATTAGCAACATGTAAACATTGATTCAGTCTAAACTAATTGAGGGCATTAATATAAGGGGGGCAAGACCTTGCGTTCAGGGTGATGTAAAAATATCACAGACAGGTTAACTGCTGAAGCGACAGTAACCAGTCAAGAGTATGGATTTCTTGTGCATGTTGATGTGATTGCAGACCCCCATAGGATTCTGGGTTAAGCTTTTATTTTGTTACAGTTACTACTTCTGCTAGCTCAGAGATTTTCACTGCTTACAATCGGCAAAAGAAGGATTCAGTGACTGTGTTCATAATGCAGAGCTTCCTACTGCAAACCTTGAGATGGATAAATGTTATAAGGGGAAAGTTAACAAATCATGCAGAGAGCAGAATGTTGTGGAGCCCAGCAAAAATTAGAGGACTATTTATCTGGGCGAAAGTTTACTGCAGGACATGTCAAAGTTAATAAACCGTAATAAATGCAATAATGTTGTTTTACATGACATATCATTAATATAACTAAAGTATAAACATAGAACTCCAGGTACAAATAATATCCGCAAAAATGGCCTAACCCCGCTG